CAAGCAGAACTTTACTCCTGTTTAAAGAGAAACAACTTCAGCAGCTGCATGAAAAACTGTGCTTTTATTATGAATTTGCATCACTGGTGGCACTCTGTTAATATGGCAATAGGTGGCAGAACAACATTGTGAAGCGGACAGACTCAGAAGAAAAACTCTGAAACGAGAACCCAGAGGCAGACAAACAGGATAACATGTCAAAAAAAAAATCATGAGGATGGAGAATATAGTCTCCATCATCAAAACTTTAGTTTTTGACAAGGCAGTAGTCCGAAACCCAAAATTTATTTTATCTTTCCTTTTATCAACTTCATCCCTTCAATAACAGCCATTTGAATTCGTCAGCTAAGAAACCTAGCCAGTATTACTGTGATGGAAAATCATAATTCACTTCCATAAGTAATCCTGATTTCGTCATCTTAGCCACATTCATCTGGTAGCAGGTGGAGGGAAGTGGCCTGAAACACAGGTTAGATAAAACAAAACAGTTCCTACAGTTCTCACAAGGCAATAAAAAATTACCTAACCTGAATCAGGCAGAATACAAGGAACTGCAGAGTGGAGAGATCTGTGCAGGATTAGTGGAAGTGAAACAATCAATCTCAAAGAAAATCTTTACCTTTCTTGTTCTTCCACTGATGATTTCTACATCCTTTCAAAACGAGTTAGGGCATGAAAAGCTTGAATCTCTTGACACCTTTTACCACATGGGATTAAGTGAACTGAAGGAATCAGTACTGACAGTGTGTTTCTTCTCATGTCACAGTACTCCCACCTGTATCGTTCCAGTGGCCTGTAAAATCAGCAATTCTTCCCACTGATGCCTTTCACTTCCCCCCGTATTTAAGGTAAGATGGTTGAGAGGTTCAAAAAACAGTCATCTATAAGACAATTGTCAGAAGCAGCATAACTATTTTGGCTTCTGTTCTCCTATAGTAACTTCTCTTAGCAGCAACAAATTTAGTCATACAGTACCTTAAGCTATGGCTTAAACATATTACTGAGTGCAACTCCCCTGACCCCACACCAGAAACATCTCTCCCTACACATGCACTTGTTCTTTCAGAGTTCCTGAGGCACCCACTCTCTTGATTGCAGGGAGTTCCAAGTACACGTGTGGATCAGAAAAGGAAAGTGGTACTGAGAGGCATGGTTCTTCCCATAGCGCTTTTGTTGATGTTCACCACGCTTGCTTTCTTTTCTGTAACGTGTTCCACATTCCCTGACCCAAGCATAGTTCAAGCAGTGGAACGAGAAACACCAGTGGCATGTGTTTTCACTGTTTTATTCTAGTCCTGCCTAGAGCTGTTAGCTTGCAGGCTAGGAAAGGCCCTTACTAGCAAGAACTGCCATTACTAGCTGTGGAGCTGCACAGGGAGACAGCATTAACAAAGCCTTCTAGGCTCTCACACCCTTGGTACCTTAGCTTCTGCATTTGCTAAGTTTATCAACACATACAAAGCATTTAAGCCTACCAGATGAATTCCCCAGTTCATGCACTCAGATACAGCATCACAGAAAGAAATAGCTTACAAGTCTTAAATATACTGCAAATCTTTCCTTCATAGAGGCAAACTGAGCTGCTGACCAGGATAACTAAATTGACCACATTTCTCCTTGCAATGCTTCCTGTCTTGTGCAGAAACCTTGTGGTAGGTTACAGTCAAGGGAGGGCATAACTGGTAGTACCAGCTGGGTTGAAAGTACAGAGACACAGATTTACTCATTTTACTCCTCGGTTCTTGAATATTAACATCATAGGTACTCTGCTAGGTGAGAAATTCCACACAAGCAGTGGAAGAGCAACAATAGAATGTTTGTGTGAACAGACTCAAAGTCACAGGAACAGCTACTTAAAACCGTACCTTTTAAGCATATTATAGCTTCATTAACTCAGTAACTCATACCCAAGTTACCAGAAGAAATCTTATCTCTAAGCGCCCTAAATATTTAGTGATTTCATGACTAAATAATTATGTTCTGCCCATTCCAAGCATGGAACAATCTGATTCTTCACAAAATCAGAATTTTTTAACAATGAAAACTTTTTAAAAATTAGGAAAAAAAATAGGAAAAAAATCTGACATTTAACAAGCCTCATCTTAATATTTCTGGTTTGTTCAACCAGTTAGACCCTCTGAGGTACATGTTAAGGTCACATGTAAGGTCACATGTTCAAGGTTTGGCAAGCTTGTGACAAACAAAAATTTCAGAATCTAGTATCACTGATATTATTACCTAAAACAGATAAATAAACTGAGGATGAGCTTTCAATGTATTTAAAAGTAACCATAAAGAAGAACAATTTGACTCTTCTTTGCCCTCCGTAGGTATGACAAAACATTCACCATAGCACTGGTTTTTCACAACACAGTGAAAACTAACACAAGAACTTCTGCTATTGCTACAAGTCTTCCCACAGGTTTCAAACAGGGGTCTTAAATGGGAATAAAAAAAACCATAATGTACATCTCTCTCACAACTGATATCACATTCTTCTGCACAGCAGGAACCTAAATTAAATTCACAACACCAACTGTGATTCTTCCCTCTTTTAGGACCTGGACCTCTCCATGCTGTAGACTACTGCTTGTGTCAGACCCCAGTAATCATTATCAAGACTGAGTCATATACATTTGTTCCCTTTCAAGCTGGAAATAGAAATAATTTCTTCCTTTAAAAGGGTAGTGCTATTTTATCCAACAGCTAAGTGGCTTGGGCACACACTGATGTTGTGAAATGCACAAGCTGTACATCCACCCAAACCACAAAGGATTCAAACCCACACATCCTACCTCTGAGGGCCATGACCCCCATCTCGTGCTTTAGGAGGAAGGATAGTCTTAAGGGTTGTCTCTCTGTAAAGAGGAACTTGAGACTCACCAGACCAAAGAACTGCTATTCTGCAGCTCAGGTGAGGAGCTCACCTAATGGAGAAAAGACCTGGATGACACTCACACTCTACAGACCATGTCAGAAAATAAATGATAACTTAATTAACAGTGTTTGTGCAAGCCTAAGAGTGAGGTAAGTATCAAGTTGTTATCCCCTGCTGATGCAGATATACTGTCCAGCACATGCACACGTGAAACTTCTGGCACGTATGAGAGTTGAGCATGCAGGCACTGAAGTCCTAAGACCTCCTGGAGATCAGGGCTTCAGCTTTTTGTTGGCTTTGTCCATTCAGTAAAGAGAAAATAGCACTACATTCATAGGGATGATATGGGAAGACACTTTAAAGACTCACAAGTTTTCAGTTGTTACAATAGTGTGTATCATAAACGTTCTTAAATTAGTATTTCAGGGCAGCAGGGAGATTGGAAAAGAAGGCAGTTTCAAAAAAACAGTTAAAATTGGTTTCCATCACTGTAAATTCATGAAGCCCACTGCTAACATGTGTCATTGGACCTAGTGCATTTTCATCATTTAAAAAGAAGCACATTATTTCCTCTCTTGTTTAGCTCTTTGACAGTCCTGGAGAAGTTACTGATGTGGAAGCTTCATCAGCCTCCCAGCCATCCACTCTGCAAATAAACCCCTTGTGACATGTCCAAATCTTTTCACAGTCCACCTCTTGAAAACAAATTGCAGGAGCACCAAACCATAACTTACATTAGCCTTGCAGAATTTGTAGCTACGTTATTTTTTGGTTGGTTGGTTTTTCAAAACTCCTAGTTTCTGAAGCAGTGATTACCTGAGTGTGTCTGTTTCCTTCTTCAAGTAAAACTGTAGGATCCATGCTCATGGCTCTCTTTCAGGCTCAAAATAAAAAAAAAATAAATAACTAAATTTCTGACTTCTTTCACCCAGTCGTCTTAATTCAGGGCAATATTTGCTGGCTATCATTTTGTGCCAGGTACTGTGCAACATATGGAAAAAGAGAGTCCCTTCCCCACACTATCTATGTGCTAAAAAGAAAAAAGCAAGAACCATGGGGAGAGAGGAGTAATTGATGCCAAAAGACTCAGTGACCTACAACAATAACTAGTAAGTATATCACTGACTGAGTCTCAACACTGTTCCAAGACTATGCTTACCACCTTCTTAGAATTTATTTAAGTGCTACTAAGTATTACCAAAATGAAACAGATATTAGAACTTACTACCCTGAACACAGAAATGGATTTTAGCATTACTCAAGACCAGGAAAACCCAAACCACATCCTTGACAATAAGAGCAAATGACCATCAGCAAAGTCCACCTGAACTTACCTAGGAAAGCTGGACACTTTGTTAGTCAAGCCCTGTGTGAAAAGCCTTATCATTTCCAGTAACTAGCTTTGAATAATTGAGATAGTAGTGGCATTTTACTGAAATCCAGCCTACTGAACTCCCAAACAGTGCCAACTTGATTGACCATAAGGTTTATTTCACCTTTTTTTTTTGTTAAGAAATGCATACATCTGTATTCCCAACAAAACAACCTACTACAGGCACCCTAAAGGAAACATACACACATTTGTAAACTTATTTGACAACAGTTTACTACCACATATCTGAAGTCTATGATTCCTACTGTAAGGATAACAACTGGGCAAGATTGAATATGGTTACACATATTTGTAGAATAAAGTACTTTCAAAGGATTCATTTAAAACCTGCAGGCCACAAATACCAAATTACCACAGTGTGAAACTGAAATTTAGCAAAACTTGTTTAAAACACCCTACATCCTTTTTTGTATTAAACAGATTCCATTGGAGCTGAAAATAAGGGTGTAATCAACCCATTTAATTTTTGTCCATTTAAATCCTGACAGAAAAGTTTACTATTACATACATACAATGTATAAGTTCTCATCTGTGATAAACAGCATTTCAGTTATAGCCTTTATTCATCAAAACCCACAAGGAACTTGAAATCATACACCTGAGGACCTGAAAAGCAAAACGAAGAGTGACTAAGGCATCAAATGATGTAGTTATCATTTGGTCTGCAGTCTCTGACCGTAAGGATGAAAAAAACACATCAAAAAAAAAACTCCAGCAACTCTGCCTCACCCAGCAAGGAGCCCACGAAGATGACAATCTGCACGGTGGTGGTGAAGTGCCGGTAGCCCCGCTCCTCGCCGTGCTCCTCGCTCTCCACGGCCCCGGCCTCGCTGACGTTCCCGCCCTGCCACACCATCTGCTCGGCCGAGGCGTTCCTCATCTCCAGAGCTCTGGTGACAGCCTGGTACGGGGCATGGTCGCTTTCATTCCTCAACATCCAGCTTTTGTCGTACCCCATGGCGGAGTTCCTGCCCTCTCTGCTACCACCTAATAACCACAGGTTGTTGAGCCCTTCCCTTTAGCGAGTAAATGGTGCCCACCGGCAAAAAGGCGCTTCTAAGGATACAGCCCCTACTCTCGGAGGCATCTTCACCACATTCCTGTGTCCCGGGAAGCAGAGGCGGCTGTTCGCGTTTCCACCTCGTAAATCATGATAGCCAGTGAAGGAAAACAGAAAACAAGCCAGGCTTCTCCTTGCAATCAGCTCTCCCATATTTCTTGCTTCACACTGCCACAGGTCTCCTCAGCATGTTTTACCGCAATAAGCGAGAATGAGGGAATCACAGTACACAGAATCACAGCCCGCACCGCGGCTCATCCTCCCAACTCCGCCGAGGGTCGCGGCGCGCCCCCCGCGCACCAGGGCTCACTGCACACCAAAACTGGTCTGGAAAAGTTGAGGGAACAAAGCTCTTTCCCCCCACTCCACTCTCAGTGTTGGCGCTGCCTTTCCTCACAGCCCTGAGGGAGGAAAAACATGGTTTTCCCCCTGGCCCATCTATTCCAGCTCGCTCCTCCCGCGGTGAGGCACGGCTCGCCCCCCCCCCGCCCTTCCGCCTCCCTCCTGGCTCTGCGCGGCGCTGGACACCGCAAGGACCCTTACACAGCGTCCAGAGAGGTCAGTGACAGCTCAGTGGGTTCCACTGCGCTCCAGCTATTTCTCGGGGAAAATTAATTTGGTTTTGAATCCCAAGGCGGGGGGCGCTCGAGCCTCCAGTGAACCGAGAGGGTTCCGTACGATCCCTGCGCGCCCCGCTCTGAGCGCGCCCCGCACTGAGCGCGGCTGGCGGCGACACCCCGCTCGTTCGTGCGCCAACATCTCGGCCCGGGCGCCGAGCTGCTGCGCCCCCGCTACCCGCGGCCCCGCCAGCCCACAGTGCTGGCTGCCGCCAAGCCCCGCCGCGATCCCGCGGGAGGCGGTGGCCGGCGGGGCGGGCAGGACTAGCGGGGCAAAAGCCGCCGCGCTCCAGAGGGGCGGGCGCGCCGCCATCACGTGGCCGCCGCGCACGGCGGAGCCGCCATTTCGCTCGGTGGCTGGGAGCGTTTCTAAATCGGTATTTTAAAACAGGTCCGTAATTCTGAGGACAGGGTTTCAAAAGACGGTGCTGGATTCTAGTGTTGTTTGTTAAAATAGGTATTTTTAATATATAATTTGCCATTAAAGCTCCTCAGTAGATGCAATAAATTTGGGCTTTGACTGTGCAAAAGTTGTGCATCCATATAGCAGGTGGACATTCGCCTTTAATTTGAAGACTTAAGGAGGGTGGCTAGTTAAAAATCAAGACAATAAAGTTTTTTCAGCCACTGGCCAGCCAATCTGGAAATGCTCCAAGAAGAGGAGCTACCCATGAGTATGGTTCCTGCACAGCAAGGCTTCCTCAGGGACCCAACACCCACGAGATGTATTTCAGTGGCACACATCCTGTCACCTGTGATGTGAACTTGGGTGACACAGGACAGAGCTGGGTGGTGTGCTGTGGGTTCAAAGATGTTTGCTGACCACCACCCCATTCCACCACAGGTCCTGAAGGCTGTTGGCCAAACCTCTGCTTGCATCTCCGTGTATTTGGCCCCTGCCCTTTGCAGGCTCCACTCATTCCTCTGGGAGCATGAGTCTCCTAGCTCATTGCTCCAGCCTTTTTTCCAGTAATTGATGTCTCCTACTCACTCCCAGTGTGGCCCTAGGCTCAATCACCCTCTTACCCTTTTCTCTCACCTCAACTCATTCACCTCGTCCAACCAGTCCCATTTTTTCCTTGCTCTCCCCATGCAATAATCAGCAGCTTCCACCATGCTTTCCCCTCATCTTATTTTTCATTAGACACTCAAGTGGGCTCTTCCTCCTTCTGGACACATTATCTGTAACCAGAGCCTGACCTCCATCCCTTCACCTCCCAGCCACCTTCAAGGCACTGTTCCTCATATAAAGCAATCCCTTTCTTCAGCTCCTCCCTCAGGATGGGATGATGACTAAGACGCCAGGCAAGGGCTAATGCTTGCTATCTACAGCCTACACTGTGTACCCTCTATGTTGTCGTTGCATAGATCTGCATAGTTGACACTAAGAAAGGATGACTTGGCTAAATGAAAAGGTCCTGTGTAGATAGGATGGTCTCAGTTTGACTGGCAAATGGAACAGAAGAGAAGTAAGTTGTATGACCAGAACTTTGAAGGGTGCCATGGCCAGAAAAGAAATGTTGGCCTGGATTAAAGGTCATTTAAATATTAAAATGCATATACCTGTATATGCTAATAAGTTTAATGAAGTACATGCTACCACAGGAATGAATGTATTACGCAACTCTCCACTTAGATCATGCTATATGTAACATAGCAGGACCATAGCATAGATTGGAGGAGGGCAGACATTTCACCTGTTAGGAGAAAGACCCTGGAGACAGCCAACAGGCTATTCTGCTTTCCCTCCTCTCAACTGGGGATGCTGCCTTGATAAGCACGAATATTATTATTACCTAGATTAAAACAATATTATTAGAGATCTGTTACGGCTACTGCATTTATCAGTAGCAATTCCTACTCTGTATTTTTGTTGCTTCAATAAACTGCACTATTCATGAATTTGTGGTTGTGGAAGTTCCTGTTGAACACGGCCAGACATATAATGACAAATTGGTTATAGTCAGAATAAGCCCAGCTGTACCCAGCCCCTCTGATCTCTGGGGACAAGAGGGTTTATTTTGTGCCACACTTCTTGCTCTTAACACTCAGGACCCTTCCCCTCTCTCCTGCACTTCACCTAGGAAGACTGACCAACCCTCACTATGCCCATGGGGAAGTGAAAGCACATTCTCACACCTCACTTCATTAAATTTTAATAGCTAGAATTAAATTTTAGTGCTGTGACACATTATAGGTTTAATAATTTTGTCATAAATTTTGGAAGGGAAGCTTCTGTTCAGATGCAGTCTTGCACATCTTTAGGGCAGGTGGATGTTCACTGCATTCCAGTAAATCTATGGGGAGCATATGAGTACTTCCCTCAGTAATGTAATTCAATTCCGTTTATGCAGGTTTTCACAAGGTTAGCTAGCAGAGCCACAGCACTGAAAAAGGTTGTCTCTTCCCCTTCATTCATCAAATTTTCACACTTCTGCTGGGGTACAAGACTTTTTAAAATAAATTCTTAGAATGTTTTCATGATTATGTCATGATTATCTGCCTCTCTTCTTGGAAACAATGAGTCATTATAGAAAAAATTAAGAGGAAAAAAATAGCCTGAGGTAGACATCTGGTCTAGAATGTTTCATCCCAAACCGTTAAAATTTTGCCAAGTCACAAAGAATGGGAACAATTGGGCAGCTTTAACAATGCCTGACCCACCCATTGCTACACAGTGTAACACAGGAGAAGTTTCCCAGGTGCTGGGCTGTGTGCCCCACACCACATACTTAGGAAGTATAAACCTATAATTTCTGTTAAAGGAAATTTTACTTGCGTTTCTTAATTACTTACTGCATCACATCTTCTAATTGGCCATTCTTGCTGTGTCTCTGTGTGGGAGAGAAGATGAATCTGTGCCCTAGAAACTTTTATGTCTTGTCTTTAACACAGGGAAACTATTTATACAAATTGATAGATAAGCATACCCAACTGCACCAGAGGAAACTCCAGTGATCAGTTACAGTGCCCCAGGTCGCATTTGACTGAGCAAAAGGAGATCTCTCTTGCTGTTAGATAAACACTACACAGCTTTGGTCATGCATTTCCCACAAAAAACATGAGACAGAAAGACCTTGCCACTAAAGACAGGTTCCAGGAGTGGTAAGGAATAGAGAACAGCATCACAACAGTGATACAATTTAATACTCGGCTTTGGTTAGATACTAATGAACATTATTTAAGTGTGACTGAAAGATAAACACACACATGGAACAAGCTTTCAATTTCAGAAGGAAAATTGAGGGCTATAGAAACTGTTCATTAGCATAAGTCCCTCCTGAAGTGGTCTATAACAAAAAGTCTGTACTGGAAGGTCAGGGAGTAAAGTGAAAGTCACCAAAACTCCATTTATATATCTGGGTGCACGGTAGCAAGCTGCAGACTACTGTAACATTTTTCTTTGCCTGGGGATTACTCACCTAGTCAATAAGCTTGTATGTATTAATTTATTTGGGGTTTCTTTATTAAGATCCCAAAACTTACCGGAGGCTACATCTTGTGGCAGTCCTGTTCAGTAGTTACTACAAGAAGTGACCAAAGAAAGCACATTTTCTTCTTTGGTTACCACTGCTCTCCCGACAACCCCCAGCTTCCTCTCTCTGGCAAGTTCCACCAAGGAGACCCAGGGGCTGAGGGGTGTTCGCTGGGTCTGGCCTCACTTCGCATTTGCAGTTTAACTAGCAAAAGACTAAGGCTGCTTGCCCTCCACATGCTATTATTCACTAAAGCAATCGTCAGTGGAAATATTTTCATAGTTTTCACAGGAAGTTGTATCCCGTGTCAGCTCTACATTAAATCCATTCTGAATTTTGTGGTTACCTTTCCCTTTTGCAAATCTTTGTCAAAGTCTGTTAAAAAAAATCTGCACAGTAACTAGTCGTATTTGCTGCGTATCTCTGTATTATAGGTATAACTGGACGCTTATCCTGGGGGAGGTCAGGCTGGGCATTAGGAAAAGATTCTTCACCCAGAGAGTGGTTGGTCACTGGAACAGGCTCCCCAGGGAAGTGGTCATGGCACCAAGCCTCCCAGAGTTTAGTCACGGTTTAGTTTCAGGTAGTCCTGTGAGGAGCAGGGAATTGGTCTCGGTAATCCTTATGGGTCCCTTCCAACTCGATATATTCCTGGTGGGCGAACCACCGGCCCCCAGAGTCGCCCCCCCCCCCGGCTCCTCCTCCTCCCGCCGCCGCGGGGGCGGTGCCGGAGCGCGGCCCCGGCACCACTTCCAGGGGGGCAGCGCGGCGGTGCTGTCCGCGATGGCCGCCGCCCGCCCCCGCCGGGGCAGCTGACATGGCCCGGGCCAGCGGCGCGCAGCAGATGCCGGCGGAGACTGCCGGGGAGCCGCCGGAGAGCTACCAGCTGCGGCAGGAGAACGAGCTCCAGGTGCTGGAGTCGATTTACGGGCAGGACTTCCAGGATCTGCGGCAGAGCCAGGCCTGGAAGGTAGTGAGCGGGGCCCGCAGGGCGCGGATGCTGTGGGGGTGGAGCGGACCGGGTCGCTGTGCGGAGCGGGACTGGGGACGCGGCTGGCGCTGCCCCGGTGGTGCCGGTCCACGTCTTCCTTGAGGGGCGCGTCTCGCCTCCCCCCCAGCCCTGCAGCGGATCGCCCTTGCGATTAATCCTCAAGATAGAAGTGCTCGCACTATATGCAGTGCTGTGTTTATAAATTGCATTTTAATGAATTGTCAGGCTTTAAAAAAATTGCCTCTTAATTCATTGCTTAACCGACTAATTACGTACCTGCTTAATAAATTAATCGCATCGGTATATATGATGATTTTGCGTGGTTATTATATGCTGTGGTTTTCTCAGACTGTGGCTGTTTCCATGATAACTTGATACTTCAGCTTTCATTTTTATAGGTTTGGGGTTTTTTATTTACAACTAGTTAGTGCTCAGGGCTAGTACTCGCTACTCTCTTGCATTTAACTTTTGTGTCCACAACATCTAATTGATATTTTTTTCCAACTACGCTTTCGGCACTGTTTTTCCTGTACCTTGAGATACTGGTTACGCTGTTCTGTTCTCAAAGTTCACTTCTACTGTTGTTTCTTTTTACATTCTTTTGTGTTTAATTTCTACAAAATATATCATAGCCTCCGCTGTCTTTTTTTTCTGCCATAGATCTGAACTTAACATTT